ATTCATGCCAAGCCTTGGAGACTGCGGTAAGAGATGCGACGGCGGAGACTGGGGTGAACTCCAAGATGCGTAGAACTATCTCAGGAGGTAAGATGGCGAGAGGGTCCGCCACAGGTGAAATGGCAGTCATTCTTCAACAGGCACCAGTTTTTTGTCGAATTATCAAGTTGAAAGAGTGGGCGAAGATGCGACGGTATGAAAATACTGCCATTCCTCACCGCCCTATCATATTTTGTAACTAGCCGTTTACTGGCGAATCGACGCTATTATGGGAAACTTTGGGTATAAGTCCAACAAGGATGAGCTAGTACACAATCAATTTGAATACGTAGGGGGTCTGTTCCTCATTTCCTTTTCTATGCTGTAACAGCTCAAAAACAGTCGCACAATCATTTAGCTCAGCCCATTCTATAGGCTTCCGAGGGATGGGTCGCTTATATAACCGTTCATGGTTCATCAAGAAGAGAGGCACTAGGTAAAGCCCTTCTTGTCTTGCCCTAGTTTCAACGATGTGATAATCATCATCCTGACAATGAGGATCCGCGCCGTAATCCAACAAAAGCCTCACAGCATCCATATGACCATACTCAGCGGCCCAGCTTAAAGGAGTTCGACCATACATATCTTTCTGATCCGGGTCAATACCAGTCTGCAGCAAAATTGCAATAATATCAGTATGGCCATACAATGCTGCCATTGAGAGAGGTGTATAGCCATTCCTGTCTTTAGTAGTCGTGTCGAAACCGCTGTCTATGAGGGCCTGAACTACTTCAGTGCTTCCACCATTTACCGCTGCTGACATAGGTGTGTGACCAAGGGGGCTCCATATAGTATATTGCAGGTCAGACTCTTTAGTCCGTGGACAATATTCTAGCAGCTTGCGCATGGTTTCGGCATTTCTTGTTGCTGCTGCTCGCCATAATGCCCCGGCAACGTTCTTCTTGTAAAGTGTAGAGTTGAAAATAGAGTAGAAATTCCGGCATACTTGGCTGAAAAAATTGAGTGCCGATTTGGGGAGATATCCCTGGATAAGTAGAAGGATCTCGACGGGGAGATCAACTAGCTTTGCCATTAAAAGTGTCCGGGATTTACTTTATTAGGCAGGATATTGCGAAAAATCAGCTGCTCAGATCAACACTCGACGAATACTAATCTAAACCAGTATAATACTTCAAACGTCTTCATGGAATATAAGGGGATACTCTCTTAATATATACCAGGATCTGTATAGAAGCCAAATTTAATTGTCAAGAACAAACTTTGGCCGTTGTTTGGTCGTCCCTTTGTAAACTGTAATGTATGGGGGCCCATAATATGTGGGATACAATAGGAAATTTGAAGTGCGCGATCCTATCTTCTCCATCGTATAAGGGGGGAGGAGTTCTAACATTTAGAATAGATATATAAAGCTTGCAAACGATAAGTCAATATATATTTACGTTAATCTAGGTAGAATGGGCATGTAGATTAAGATTGTGTTTCTTGTCTGTCAAGTGCGCTTTCTCAATACTCCGTAGAAGTTCTATTATACTGACGGATTACCTTGGCTTAATTCCATGTTCTTGTTTCAGCAACCACGTCCAGTTACTAGGTATTATCGAATGCTGCATTTAGGGAGTAATGCTTGGAGTTATTGGTTGGTTTCATCTCCATTATTTTTGGTGCTACAACATTTTGAGTAACTCGAGCATCATCGAATGTCTCGGATCATATTGTCTTCCACATATTCATCATACTAATTCCCAGATAACTACCAATTGTCGTTCATGAAACAGCACTTCCTATATTAAGGGTCTCGCCCGTTTGTTGCCAAAACCGAAATAAAACGCTCACCTTTTTTGTGGTGTCTCATCTATGTTATCTCATTATATCAAAAGGAACGATATACTCTTTATGAGCTTCATGTGTCTTCATCAATGGAGGATTCAAAGTGTAAGATAATCCTATCAGATTATAATGGTCTTTCCATTCAGATGTTGAAACACAAGAAAAGATGCTCGGAGAGAGTTAAATGATCTTGAACCTAAGGCAGTATCTATATCCATAGCCGAGGGAACACAAACAGCTTGACTATCGCCAATCTACGAACTCTGGAGTATTCTCAAATTCCACTCCTACGCTAGTGTTCTAACTTGACAATCATTCATTGAACTTCAGTAGTTATTTATCTTATTTGTCAGTTTTGGCTGCCACCCAACCTGATGTTAAATTGGTCAAATTTACTGTCAGCTGCAAATCATGGCATATAGACGATATTGTATCTCATAGAATTTCGGCGACGTGTTCAGACTGAGATGGTAATTCCAAAGACAATTCTTTAGACTTAAATCAATGTTATACATACAATTAAAAAGGTCAACTCGAGTTCAAGGCGCAGTATGTACACTGTTTTCGTTTGGGACTAATTGCAAAATGGGGAGAAGAATCCCTCACTAACATACTGGCGATAGTGGAGCTGCATTCGACACATGTGTCGAATGTAAATTGAAAGCGGGCCCAAACAACCACCCATTTCTTGCTTGCGACTGCAGGGAACGCGGGTCTATAATGCCTGTATGGGGTTGTACTGACCCAACGAACATAGCCTTGGTTATGTGATTTCTTCATATCTGACTTTATCGATGTCAAGTGCTTAATTAAGATGTACAGACTCCAATATTTTCAACATAAATGGTGATTGCGTTTACAGATCTTGAGTAATTTACTACAGGAACTTTGTCTCCCCCCTCATTTAGTCATTTGAGGACACTCGGCTAGTCTATATCTTTCTTCTGACCGGTATCTGTTCATGCATCTTAATTTTCCTTCTCTTTTTTTGCCCTATAATACCAGAGGTGAAAATAAGATTAGGTACAGTATATGCCCATGTTATTGGGTTCACTTCTCATAATCAATGGCGTTTTGAACTATAACCCACCAGAACATATGCAGAGCAGAAATCAGAAACTCTGTGAATATATAAACTAAAGATTAACCTCTACTAGGATAATAAGGAAGCGAGTGTGCTTCTATTTACTCTATCAAAACCTGTAAAATAGATTTCTTCCTTATTGCCGATGTTCCTAGCTACTGAACAATAGAACAATTGCAGAGCACTTCGCGCTCCACAAATAATTTATTCAACTATATTATAAAGAATAGCTTTCTTTAATAAGATTATTGAAAAGTGTAAAGTTGACCACCCCTACTTCATTTGGGCATGTGCCCATGATTCTATGAGCATGAGATCTCTGCATCAGTGGGAAGCTATGTTAAACCTCCAGGCTCCAATAGCGGGTCATATATCCACCCGTGACCCAACAACTATGTAGTATTACTAGTACTTGAGCTTGGCAAGGAGCTGTCAAAAAATGTCTACCCCTTACAAGTGCGTAGATATAATGGGCATATATGGGTGAATGTACTCAGTCTCCTAGATCAAAATGTCTTGGGGCTAATTTGATACACTCATTCAACCAGTAACACTAGCTACCCATGAGCTTGGGGGCAAAAGAAAAACTAGGAATGGAAGCTCCCTATTGTTGTCAGATTGAGCTATGTTTGGTCCCTGGAAGATTGATAGACCATGACAACTGCCGAAATTGTCAACTAAGATGGCCAAGGCATAGGTTTGGATTACTAGATGATCACCTAGATTGGGCCGGTGTTGATGGCTATCAACAACCAGGTCTCACTCCAAAACGGCAGGGCTGTCAGATTAAATTAAAGACTCAGCCACTAGGGTTGGCATCAATGATACGAAAACGAAGTACCTAGAATTCCCTAGCTGTTCTAATTTTGCTCTGGAGAAGAGACCTTCCATGGGTCTTGTCAATAGTGCATTTTCTCAACGCGTATTTTTATTGCCCAATTGACCTGGATCTTATTGAGATTTGTGGGGAAAAGGGCGCGAAAAAGAGGAAGCCTGGTAAAATACCTTTCTTACGGCGTGGGACAAGGCTGAAAAAACTGTGGCTGTTGCCTGCAAGAGGTCCTTTTTCCCACATGCAAAATTAATGGGCAACGGAGGTGGGCCAATCCGCTGTCCCGAATCCGATCCGAGCACAGCCACGGGGGTGAACTAAACTCTATCGGAGGGGCCAGACTGTGAACTTACGTTACCCAATGCCCACCTTCTCTGGTTTGCTCTTGGCTGGTGTTTCACGCCATTATCTTTTATATTTATCCACGCCTGAGGCTGACTCCAGTCTTATGTTTAATTGATTCTTTTTTTCCATTTTCTGTCCTTCCAGTATCCTCACAGTGGAAGTTAACTTTCTCTTTCTACTCACAACGAACGTTCAAGTAGGTATAGTACCGTTTGTTTACTCCAGTTACCCCCGCCCCTGATCAAGCATGGAGACAAGTCTTTTCTGTTCAACGGCTCATCTGAGGATCTGCGTCGCTGGCACCATCTCTTTAACTTTCTCTTGTAGCAGTATTACACCCTCACTGACTGTGATAGCTTTCTCCAGCTGATACCTGAACGATAATTATAATAACCTGTCTTCTCGACTCCCTTACCACGATTTCCTCTCCGCCCCGCCAATCCCCCCTCACGTGCGGGGTCTCATCGGCGTCAAGCCTACTGCCTTAGCTCGCCGCACAACTAATTTTCGTGACTCAAGGCGGTCATTACAATTCAGACACAATGAGTTGTGAGTTTCTTCGTTTTCTAATCGTTTTCGCACCCCGTCTTGTCAATTGAGCGGGGTTGAAATGTTACTATTTCTTGTTGATTGCTCGCCCGCGTTGAAGCCTGTTTGTTTTGCCTACATCAACTGGTGGGGTGGATCATACTTTCCCAAGTCTTCGAAATGTTCTCGTCAACTGTCGCAATAGCTCTGTGGAGCAATGGCGCAAGCCTTTGGCTATTGTTCATCTCCTGGTGGTTACATGGTCTGAGCATACTACATCGCCTGGTTTTTGGCTAATCCGCTGGACTACCAACCTTGGTGATTTGATGTTTGAAAGTATTGTAGCAAATGCGCTGACTATTTCTTTGCTCTACAGTCACTAATATGCTCAACAAGCTGTCGGGACAGCCCGAGAGTTATGAGAAAAAGTACGGCCTTTCCCCTGCGTTTAATGATTCCTTGACATGCCATTCGACAGTTAGTAACCAGTGGGAGCTTGCTCTAGGCAACTATACAAGTTTGGGAGAACACTTGGTGCTGGAACGTACGGTATTGTCCGTGAGGCAGATTGCAGTCGTGGAAAAGTTGCTGTTAAAATCATCCTGAAGAAAAATGTCCGGGGCAACGAGCAGATGGTTTACGATGAGTTGGAGATGTTGCAAGCCCTTGATCACCCGAACATCGTCCATTTTGTCGATTGGTTCGAATCCAAGGTGCGTGCCTTTCACAGCGCTATACCAGTGTCTATAGTCTAACGGTGCCAAAGGACAAATTCTACATTGTCACCCAACTGGCCACCGGTGGTGAGCTGTTCGATAGAATTTGCGACTATGGAAAGTTTACTGAGAAGGATGCATCTCAAACCATTCGGCAAGTGCTAGACGCAGTCAATTATCTGCATGAACGGAATATTGTTCACCGAGGTTCGTTTTGCACCTTCAACGCTCTCCCCTTATATGATACTGTGTCATGTGCTAACTGTAACTCTGAATCGCTTAGACTTGAAACCAGAAAACTTGCTTTACCTTACCCGTGACCCATCCTCGCCTTTGGTTCTAGCCGACTTTGGCATTGCCAAGATGTTGGACAGTCCCAGTGAAGTATTGACTAGCATGGCTGGATCATTTGGATATGCCGCACCCGAAGTTATGCTCAAACAAGGCCACGGCAAGGCCGTCGATATGTGGTCTCTGGGTGTCATCACATACACCCTGCTGTGTGGTTATTCACCCTTCCGGTCCGAGAGCCTGTCCGATCTGATCGAGGAATGTCGTAGTGGCCGGATCATTTTCCATGAACGCTACTGGCGAGACGTCTCAAAAGATGCCAAGGATTTCATCCTTACGATGCTCCAGCCGGATCCATCAAAGCGTGTCACATCCGAGGAGGCCCTCAAGCATCCCTGGTTGAAGGGCGAATCTGCCAGTGACCGTGACTTGCTGCCTGAAATCCGCGCCTACATTGCTAAGTCTCGCCTCAGGAGAGGCATTGAGATCATCAAACTGGCCAACCGCATCGAGGCACTCAAGATGCACGAAGAGGATGAGGATGACATCCCTAGCCCTGCTGACATGGCAGCTTCTGCTGAGGAGTCTAGCAAATCTGGATCTGCGCCGGCCGAGGCGTCAGCTAATGTTGAAGCCGAGGCTGGTACAACAAAGAAGCGGAGTTTGAGCAAGGTTGCACGCGGAGCTATCTTCCGTGAGGTTGTTCTTGCAAAGGTTCGTGAGCAGAAGGACAACGAAGAACGTGAGAGACTCGAACGTGAGGCTCGAGAGAAAACTACCCATACTTAATTCCTGTTATGCTATGGCGTTCAAAGTGAGAGCTCGTTCATCCTTCCCTGACCAGTTTTCGAGGTCAAGACACATCATCTGAGTTGCTTTGTGAATATTATTTTCATGATTCCCCGTCCATAATCCGAATGGTGTATACAGTAACTGTGTTATTCTTGAGAGCTTTCGGTGCTTGTTCTTCAAAATCCCTCATCTTTTGGCTTCACTGTCTCTTTTTTCCTTCGTGTCCATACCATCAACAGTTTTTTCTTCTTCCATTATTCAAACATTAAATATACTTGTCCTTGCCCTCGTAGTCTTTTAGAGAATGACCTTATCAGGTGGATAAGCATCACGTGTCAGGCCACCATTTGACCATTCGGTGCGTGAGCCAATCATATGATGTGTGTCGGGGAAGTGAGCCCCAGGCAGGTGATCGGCTGGGGGGTGTATAAAGGTACGTCCCGTAGGCGGTCGTTGAATCATTGATATGCCCTCGGCCGGCTTATTGCTTTTCTTCTCTTTCTCCGAGCAGTATTACTTACGCCTCTACGACTTTTGATCCCTGTCCTGTGTTTGTCCACCTCTTCATTCCTTTCCTTCAACCTTCCTCACGTCGTTGCAACATTTCCGAGGCGGTGGATCGCCCCACGTTGGAGTCAGACGTCATACATATTTGCGGCTTAAAGATTCTGCTACCTATGGGAGTAACTAGCGTGCGAAGAGAAAGATTCTCGTCAAAAACCAATTCCACAGTACTGGGAACAATATACCCACTATCTGAAACGCATATCTCTTACCATGTTTGCGGGTAAACGCTTGAGCAAGGTAATTGTTCCCATCGTTGAATCAGTATTTCACAGGCTAACTTGGCGCAATAACAGGAGCTCCTCAAGGTACCTACATCCCCTTTTATTCCTCACGCCCCGATTTTTTCTACCGCTTTGAAAGATAGGTTACGGCCTCAATCAATAGCAGTGTCACGTCTTTGCTGTATACTATCATGCCTAGTGTCGATTATGCACAGAATAATTAACTATGGGAATTAATTTAGATGAAGGAACATCTGCCGCCAGGTATTTCAATAGCCAAATCGGAGAATCTTGAAGAGTGGCAGATGGATATCCGAGTCTTGGACGAGAATCCGCTTTATCAGAATCAGATCTATCGGCTCAAGTTCACATTCTCGTCCAAGTACCCAATAGGTATGTTTGATTTTATGCCCTGGTGTTACATTGCCTTGTGTTACCTTTTTTTTTTTTTTTGCTTTCTTTTACGTCGATCATACTAAGCAAGACCCCATTGCCCAGAACCGCCGGAAGTCCAGTTCATCGAGCTACCTAGCACATCTGAGACCCCTCGCCCGATCCCGATCCACCCGCACATATACAGCAACGGAATCATATGCCTAGACCTACTAAGCTCTGCCGGTTGGTCACCTGTACAAACAGTTGAGAGCGTCTGCATGAGCATTCAAAGCATGCTGACCGCAAATACGCGCGACGAACGACCCCCAGGCGACAGTGACTTCGTCTCGTACAACCGACGCCGGCCCCGCGACATCAACTTCTTCTACGATGACGACAACGTATAACTGTGTACGATGGTACTGTCAAAGGTGGCTCACTGTCAATATTGAACATCATGCTTTTGTTTTTCAAGCGATGGTATCCATCTAAGCCTGCTCTTGCATGTTCTGGGACCAATCTACCCTCCTCCGACAACTGGTCTTTCACAATCACCCAAGATTATTCAGAGGATTGCCGATTGCTCATCTAGTACACATTCAGACTGATGCATTCGGTCGTTACTTTGTCGATATTTCCATTCTCAAGTTGCATTTGCATAGGCGCATGTTTTATGGGCGTTTCGGGAGCGGGTTAGTAGTTAGCTTGGAGTAGCATATATTATCAATTACATATTTTATTCTCATAGTTCCATGTTTGTGATGTTCGTTGCTTTACTTTTCCTAGTTTTTTTCATCGTTCTGTTTATCACTGGAAAACGGGTAACTATCACGCCGATATATATATATATCTCCCCACCCACTGATTATAGTTTCTGTTCCCCTACGTAAGACAGGCCAGTAATATAACCATCATTTAGATTAAGTAGTATGCTAGCACGTTACACATACAATTCTAAAAACCTACAATGATAAAATCCCCATTTAGTTAACACATGATATTGTAACTTGAAATTCGGTCACTATACACAGGGTAGATGATGGCAAGAAAAGAGATAGAGATTGGGATTCAGGTAGAGTCGGCAAACAAAGGAAACAGACAACGCCATTAAAAAACGGAATTGGTACAGCGAGGTAATGTTGATGATCCAACAGCATCACCGCGATGAGGTTGAGCACGGAGAAGAACCAAGAGGTAGATGGAAGGTTATTTTTTTTTAAAAGAGCTTTATCTTTGCTTCTTTTCTATTCTTTGGAAGAATCAAGTTCAAGTCGGTTTACAGAAGCTTTGGAGATTCCTCTTGCCTTTATTCGTCTACCGGTCGACTTCACCGAACACCAGATCCATTGTACCTGGGTTTGAAGATTAGCGGAGCGTTCTAACAAGTTGTAGGCGTTTTAGAGTTATGAGGACTTACCAATAATGGCGACAGCATCTGCCAGCAAGTGACCGCGAGCGACCTGATCGAAACCACCCAAGTGGGCAAAACCAGGAGCACGGATCTTGCAACGGTAGGGTCTCTCGCTGCCATCACTGACCAGGAAAACACCCATCTCACCCTTGGGGGCCTCAATGGCAGAGTAGGTCTCACCGGGGGGAACGGCGTAACCCTTGCTGAAGAGGAGGAAGTGGTGGATAAGGGCCTCCATGTTCTCCTTCATAGCGGCACGAGGGGGAGGCGAGAGCTTGTAGTCCTCGACCTTGACAGGGCCAGCGGGCATCTGGTTCAAGCACTGGTGGATGATACGGAGAGATTGGCGGAACTCCTCCATACGGCAGAGATAACGATCGTAGCAGTCACCATTGACACCTACGGGGACGTCAAATTCGACCTGGTCGTAAGCGTCATAGGGCTGGGACTTGCGGATATCCCATGGCACACCAGAGCCACGGAGCATGACACCAGTGAAGCTCATGTTCAGTGCATCAGCGGCGCTGACAACACCAACGCCCTGGGTTCTGGCCTTCCAGATACGGTTATCGGTGAGCAGCTCCTCGGTCTCGTCAATACGGTCACCGAACTGAGTAGCCCACTGGTAGATATCGTCGAGAAGGCCGAGGGGGATATCCTGGGACACACCGCCGGGGCGGACATAGGCGGCGTGGAGACGGGCACCGGAGACACGCTCGTAGAATTCCTGTGAGGGATTGACCATCAACTACCTTGTCTAATCTGCTTATGGTGAAATTAATGTTGCTTACCATGAGCTTTTCACGCTCCTCGAAACCCCACAGGAAGGGCGTAAGAGCACCAACGTCCATAGCGTGAGAAAGGACGGACATGAGGTGGTTCAGAATACGGGTCATCTCTCCGAACAATGTACGGATATACTTGGCTCTTTCAGGGATTTCAATGTTCAGCAGCTTCTCGACAGCCAGCGAGTAACATTGTTCATTCGTCATCATGGAGACATAGTCCAATCGGTCGAAGTAAGGCAGAGCCTGCATGTAGGTCTTGTATTCGATCAACTTCTCGGTACCACGATGAAGCAATCCGACGTGAGGATCCGCGCGGACAATCTCTTCACCATTGATCTCCAGAATCAGTCGAAGCACACCGTGAGCAGCAGGATGCTGAGGACCGAAGTTGACTGTGTAGTGACGGATTTTGCGGCCGACCCCTTCACTCTCGGATTCGAGACCAGCGGCAACATCGGGTTCTTGGGGACCTTCCTTGTTAGCCAGACTTGTGAAGGTGGGGTCAGTAGGAATAAGTCTGGTGGCCTGGAAGCTGGTCGGCTCCGCTTGCCGACGAGGAAGCGACGTCGCTATCGAGCGGGATCTGGGGATGGCGTTGTATTTGGTGAAGTTGGAGGGGCGGAGACAGAGCCTTTTGGGCGCACTGCCCGCCAGGCGAGTAAAGGAAGCAGCCATTCGGAAGAGAGAGGAGAAGGACGAGGAGGAATTGGAGGCTGTCGGTCCTCAGTCCGGACGCAATTGATGTAGGGACTCTGCGGAGTGGTCTACACGGGTTGATGCTTGGAGGTTACGCTGAATTACAATTTGGATGGTCACGTGAGGAGGAGCTTATGGTCATCAGACCGTCTCTGGTTGGTCTTCAGTTCCGTCTTATTCTGCACCCACGCTAGCTCACGCTTCTAAGAAAATCGGTAAATCACGGGCCGCCCTTCCACACAGTTGTGTACTCCCTCAGGTGCAGTATAGTGATGTATACTCTCCGCCTTCGACCTGAAGAAATACTGCCGGTTTTCTAAAGAACTTTTTTCCTTTTTTCTCTCCATATCATCAACGACTTGATACCCGCAAATTACTCACCCATCATGGCGCCTCTCGTTCCTTCACAGGCGGAGCTTGATCGCCGGAGGGTAATATAACCTATGAGCACCTATTTGCGTTTGCTTACCATGCTGATTATTTTCCTAGCTCGTCGACATCAATCTGGAAACAGTCTCCAACATCCCCTCCACAGACTTCCCAGGTCACTGGCCGGGTGAGTCGCATGAGTGGAATTTGGAGAAATTTAGAAATGTACGGTCCTTGCTTCTCCTTTGCATTCTATGCACTTCCCTGCCTCTCTGTTTTGCGTGCGCTTACATTATTTTGCTCTACAGGAGTTCAATGTTGAGTTCCATAGAAATGAAAGATTCGAATCTTCCTTCTCTCTCATCGGTGTCGATGCATCGATCGCAAATGCCTTCCGCCGCATCGTCATGGCTGAAGTGCCCAGCGTAGCCATCGAGTTCGTCTTCGTTCACAACAACACCTCCGTCATTCAGGATGAAGTGCTTGCACAGCGATTGGGTCTGATTCCACTGAAGGGTTCCGTGGATGGTATAAACTGGATGCGCTGGTTCAAGAAGGCAACTGAGGATGAACCCGAGGGTAGTGATCCTTCCGATTACAATACCATCGTCTTGCGACTGGATATCGAATGTTCCGAGAACCCTAACGCCGACCCCTCGGAGAATGACCCCCGAAAGCTATACAAGAATGCGCATGTTTACGCCAGAGACATTACCTTCCACCCTGTCGGACGCCAGGAGCAATTCTTCACTGGCGAGGATGCCATCCAGCCGGTTAACCCAGACATCCTGATCGCTAAGCTTCGCCCGGGTCAGAAGATCGACCTGGAAATGCACTGTATCAAGGGTATCGGAGCCGACCATGCTAAGTTCTCGCCTGTTGCCACCGCCTCATACCGTTTGCTTCCCGACATCCAGATCTTGCGCCCCATTCTTGGAGAAGACGCTAAGAAGTTCGCCAAGTGCTTCCCTAAGGGCGTGATTGGTTTGGAGCCTGTTACCCGGGAAGAGGCCGCGAAGCAGGGTAGCGGATACGAGGGCCACGAGGGCGAGACAAAAGCTGTTGTTCGCGATGCCTTCAAGGATACCGTTAGCAGGGAATGTCTCAGGCATGAGGAGTTCCAGGGCAAGGTGAAGCTCGGTCGCGTCCGCGACCATTTCATCTTCAACATCGAGAGTACAGGCCAATTCGATAGCGATGTCCTTTTCTTAGAAAGCGTGAAGGTCCTGAAGCTCAAATGCGCCAGATGGAAGCGGGGATTGGCGGATCTTATGCGGTAAATGTGTTCTATGCCATGTTCCCGCTTTTCATGTTAAAATCTTTAATGCATGGTCGGCGTTGGTTTCGTTGCTATTTTGCGAGTTTGTACAATTCATAAAAAGTCGGTCAAGACCTTCTTTGGGAGTCTGGATAGGGCGATTTTTGTCACATAGAAAATTCACAATTGATATTGAAGCCTTGATCTAGTAAGAACGTCTTGTATTTATCGTAACGACTCATATCTCATATGAAGAGTAAGAAGTTGGTATTCTTATTTGAACAACAACCGGTAGCGGAAATCGATGGTGTAAGCGGGGTCGCTGACTGCTATCTCTTGCCCGTCTTCTACTAAATCCCTAAGCTTAGAGTTCAGATTGACCCTGGTCTGTTCCTCCAATTGGGGGGGGAAACGCTGGTAGAGGGTCTTTTCTTCCGTTCTCATGCTAGGCTTCTTAAGCTGAGCTTCCGGCAGGTCGCCAAGAGTGTCGATGTACTCTTGTAGGGTCATGTCCGGATCAACGGTCATATTTCGCGCGAGGTTGCCACAGACAGGGCAATCCGGTTTCTTTTCAGCCTCGAACGTATATGTGTACACACCTTCTTCACCGGCGTACATCATATAGTTATCAAGGTACGGGTTGCACGATGTGGCGATTTTTAATGCCTCAGATGTTGTCGCAGCGGCAATGACGGCGTTTGTGGAGGCGATTGCAGGAATAATGTTCTTGACTACACCCTGGGTCATCTGGAAGGTGACTCCGTGAATATGAAATTGCTTTGCTCGCTCAAGAGCTGCATTATACACCCAACCAATGTGGTCAAGATCATCACTATCGAATGGGTCGTCCTTGCGCTTTTCCTGCCAGGCGATCTGGTGCGCCCACTCGATACAATGTTGGGGCTGCCGAGGGATAGTCGCAATTGTGCACAGCGGAACCGCAGGGCGGGGTGCGTGCATGTCAAGCTGGCATTCAATGCACGACGACAGGGTTGGTAGAATAACACGCGCTTGCCCTTTGAAGCCTGGTCTTTGTTAGTATTTTGTGATAGCCCAGGTGGCCTAACATACCTTCAGTTCCTCCATCAATGAGAGGCTTCAGGCTCTCAGGGTTCTCAGGATCAACCATGCCAATAAGGGTGGCATTGATCCATCGTCTCGCTTCTATGCTATCGAGACCGCAAACGACTATCTTGAACTGCATGTAGTAATCCTCATCCTTATCTTGAATCTTCCCTACATAAGGTGTAATTTTGACACCTTTGACTCGTCTCTCTACGAAAGCCGCGGCAACCTCGGCTTTAGGTTTGCCGATGTCAGATTGACGAAATAAAAACTGACGATTTAGATTAGAGATGTCGATGGTATCTGTTAAAGTTAGCTGCGGTATCCCGGACAAAGTGATAGGGGAAAGACTTGCCCATATCAATAACATGGATATCCTTGAAGCCTGACAAAGCAAGGTTCTTCAGGATCTCACATCCTAAACCTCCAGCCCCGCTAAGATCGTTTCACTTAGTGACCATACCCATCAACAACAGGAGGGGCGCGTATATACATACATAACTCTGGACGACGTTAGTGGTTAATGATTTGCTTAATCACTTCGGAACATACAGGATTTTTGATGTCTCCAAAGCACCAATGGTCTCTGGACCGGGCACCCAGTCTTCATCGCTGAATGGTCCCGGCCTAGTTAATACCTTGTGGAGGTGTTTCCTGCGTGCAGTGAGCGAAATTATTAATGACAAAAGTAGAAGAAAGGGCATCTTACCACCTAAGGGAAGAGTCTGCGGAAGCCATATTGAGCAAGGGTTGCGCTCTATTCAATCTAGGTTACAATGGGCGTCTCTGTGATTAGTTGATTTCACAGCATCCGTAGTTAATGACGCCAGAGGCTTGGGCTGTACTTCACTAAAATGAGTGTTTCAGAGGAGTCGATGATAAATATAAATCCCCTTTCTAAAGGTCACCTAAATTCTCAGGACTCAAATGAGACAACCTATGTCTGGTGGAAACAAGTGCAGGTAGTGAAGATAGGAGGTCGTTGATTGATTGACTGATTGATTGTTCCCAGATACACTCCGCTGCACGTGACCCCACCGCTTATACAATTTCCTCCAACCTTTGCCAATCATTCTACTTTCCTCCAACGCCAGGTACTCAAGAAAATGGACGGCTTATTGACAGAGGTTAAGACCGCTACTCATGGCCGGGATACGTCTCTGTTGATTGTCGAGGAGGGACCTGTCAACGGATTAGAGAGGCATATGGCCACTTCTGAAGCCGACACTGATGCAGATCCAACATCCGCGGATTTTATATTAACAGTACTCAAGTCGAAGCCTGACCGCGCGGGACTTTATGGCGTCTTGAAAGTTCTGGATCCATCAAACGAATGCATAATCCCAAAGGCTTTGATATTAGAGTTCCAAGCCCGACAACAGCTCAGATACTTAATGCTTTAGGCACCGTTACGATCCCTGATCATTGGGCAGCATTGAATACAAAGTCAAAGGGGTCAACACCAGAGGCCAATAAACTACGAGCCGTTCTGTTGAGATGCTTTAGTAGCGTATCTGGTATCAGTTGCTTGGTGGCTCAACTCCGCTCGCTTATAACTGCAGCTCGGTCATCCTCCCAACAAGCGAAAGCATCAGGGTCTCAAATTCAGATTCGAGATATTCTGACAATCCTTTCTGCTCTCTTGAAGCCCAAAGATCTTACATTACGCATATACATAGATATCGAAGCTCTCTACAGCAATTCAACTCAGAAGCAGGTTGCCTGGAGAGAATTTCTATCTCTTATTGCTGCTAGCAAGGTTCTCTCGGCTACAGCGGAGGCCCTCACGTTAGTTGGGAATTTTGATGGCTTGAGTACAATCTCATGGATTGGAGACGGCCCCAAATATACCTCTTGGTTAGGTACTAACATCTGTCACATGGTGTCAAAACTTGAGTTCGATAACGAGGGTGCTTGGAAAGCGGTTACTTCTCTAACTGGACGAGCATTGAGCCTTGGTTATACAGGTACTTTGTATTATTTATATCCTATTTCGTATGCTGATGATTATGCCCAGATTATTTGGCCCGCGAATTATACACTAGCTTGCTCATCAACGAGACTCTCCGAGTACGATATAATTCTCTCTTCGATAAACTTCGGCCAATGGAGCAGTTTGCAGTGTTGGAAGCCATATTCCGTGAAGTTGACAAGAAATATTTCTTGACACTGATTGATGAAAGCGACGAGGCTATTCTGGGCCAGCGTGTTAACGGTGTTGCAGGATTATGTTCTAGCATCATTGGAGAGCGCCAACATATACAAACTCAGCTTCTGGATTGGCTGTCAAAAGGCCAGGGTGGCTCCATACAGACCATTGGGTTACGCAGGGCATTGTTGGCTAGCTTTGCAGATCAGAAGGGTAAGCTCAACTCAGCATTGCCTTATAGTCTCTAGTAACATGGGGTGGTTATAGACTTAATGATGACGCTGCTCAAAAAGAGCCTGGAACAGTCTAGTGACAAGTTCTATATTAAGCATGCGCCAATTGTGAGCCAAGAAGGTACACCCACATCTTTGCGACTGTAGTTAAGGCCTTGATAATGACAAACCTCAGCGAATACCCAAGTCCTCCTTCTGGCAGCAGGATACGTCAGGCGACTTGATTCAAATGCCATGATGGAAATAGGACGTTCGAGTGCGTTTCTCAACACGGTTTCCAACCGCTTAGCCGCGTCATCATCTAAAGCCCGGTTTCTTGGAATGATCATTGGGATGTCAATTTCGCAGCTCATTGAAAAGCCGGGGAAGGCAATGAAATTCGACATCGATGAAATGGAGAGTGACTGGGCCTTGTGGTACTTCAACTTGGTCAACACTCAAGACAGTTTTGCATCTTTGGAATCAATTAAATTGCCAACTGACTCAGAAACTGCCAAAGGTTCATCCTATTCAGCAACTGCTACTCGGAAACCACCACCTCCGCGGACAGCGAAGATAGTGGCCATTGAAGAAATAGAGTCCGAAAACGAAGAGTCCGAAGAAGATGACGACCTCGTCCCCTACGAAAAACCCGATGAAGATCCATACGATTCAGACGAGGACCCAACGTTAGTCCAACGCAACAAACCAATAGCGCCAGTGTGAGTCAGGCAAGAATAATCTCTTGTATAAATGTGACTGACGTGTTTTAGCTACATTCGCGACCTGATAATCTGCCTAAGAGACACGGAGAATATAGAACGCTTTGAACTGGCGATATGCACTGCGCCTTCATTAATCAGACGCAAATCTGCCTTCGGGACTGAACTTGCCGAGAATACCGAAGAGCTGGCTCTTGTCATAGTTGGTCTACAAGAGCAGAGCAAATTCCCGAAATTCCATGAGTATCGGCTCCAGAGTATCATCGCCTTGATCGTGTCCCAACCTTTGAAGATGGGTAGATGGTTCACTGCGATGTTTTTCGACGGAGACCTGTCTCAAGTCCAACGATCCGCAGTTCTGACAGGTCTAGGTCTGAGCGCTCGTGAAATATCTGGGAATGGCGAGAATGACGCTAAGACACTGGGCCTCCCAACACTACCTGACGCGTCGTTCCCATCCGGAAAGTTACCAGCCAATCTGGAAGCTTTATACTCGAGCAATGAATCCCCAATAGCCAGCCTAACAAAGAAGCTAGCACAAACTTCCCTCCAGCCGCTGGCAGCTAATGCTGCAGATTCACTTTCTGGCCCGAGCGCGCTTAAAGTGCGAACATTCTCTTCGCGAATGGAGGTCGAGAAGCAACGCCAGCAGCGAGAGGCCCAACGACAGAAATCTACGGCTAAAGATCTCTACAAAGTGTTGGCGGAAGGGTTCTTCTACCCACTAAAGGGTCGATTTGAGATCATGATGTTACAGTTCTCTTCGTGAGTACTACCTAAGAAAATGATACTTCTATCAAGGTCTTATTCTAACAACGATACAGATCAACAGCACCTTCATATAACCCCTTCCTCACCCCTAATATTCTTACTTTATTCATCCAAACCCTTACCCTTACTCTTTCTACCATGGGGCCTCATACTCCGTACCTCCCTACTGTCACAGAGGATGCAATAACCTTCCTCCTCTCGCTCCACACGCGTCCCGTTTCTGATGACCCCATAATCCTCTCTGCCCTTCTGGCTTTCTTCCTCGCAATAGTAGATTTGAACGTCGCATCAGGCTCTACCGGCGAAGAACGACTCGTCACCGAGTTCGCGTCGCAGGTCATCGAGCTACGTGAGTGGGCAGGTGAGGTTTTCGACCGTACACCTTCAGTCAAGGGGGACGAACCCAGAGAACAGGTTAGAACGTTAGCAGCAGGTGTCATGGTAAAGCTAGGAGAAGTGATGGAAAGGTACCAAGGGCGGTTGATGGGCGTGAATTCCGGGTTTAAATATTGATCTGTGTAGATACGATAGATAGAAATAGTATACAGTATCCAACAATTCAGTATAAAGTGCTCAGCGTACCATTTTCATTCACGATTATTAACTAAGTCATGACGATTAAGATATATGCATAACAGTTACTCTCAAAGGTCCTCATATCCCACGACCACTTATTCCGTCTTCGTGAAATCCTGCTTCTCAATCGCAGCCTCCATCATTCTATCCCCATTGATAATGCTCGTGGTACAGATCACGATCTTCCTCTTCGGTGCCTCCTGCTCAGCAATAAACCGTAATGCAGCGATTTCCGTAAACGTAATACCACCCAAGAAAAACACATAAACTGTCTTGGTAGCATTGTTACCGCTCAGTGTTTGCCGGGCACGGATCGCCTTGTCATCGCCCTTTTGGACGATACTAAACGTTGCGCCGCGGGCGCTCTTGACTACGTCTTCGAAACCGAGCCAGCCTGGGGACGCGGTACTGGCTGGACTGGGGGAGGCGGAGGCAGCGACGGATCCACCTCGGATGAGGGAGAGAACGTATGGCTTTTGCAGGACGCATTGGACGAGACGGACGCTGAGGGGGGCGAAGCCGCTGTATACGTAGGCAATGTCGTTCGGGTCCTTCTCGCTGACTTCCTCCACTACAAGACGGAGATTCTTACGCAGATAGCCATAGTTTGTTTTGGAGCCTGGTTGGGTGCCCGTTGTCGGCAGGAGCATGGCTGTAGCGGAGGATCGGGGTTGAAGGAGCTCCATTTTCTCGAGAGCAGAGAACGTGAGTAGGTGTTGGTGGCCGTATGCGTGGACGATCTGTCGCTTGAAGTTTTCGAGGTCGCGTGGGCGGAGACCGCCTGCCATGCAGGATTCCAGACAAAGGAGGCGGAGGACGGTTTTGAGAGGGACGTCGCGAGCGATGAGCTCTTCGACGGAGTCGTGTTGGTAGGTTGGGTCGGCGCCTGCGGCGTTGTTTTGCTGGACTTCTAGGATCTTGCGGAAGATGTCTGAGCGGGTGTTTCGCATGATCTCCTCGGCGAGGTTGGTATGGACGCGGAGGCTTTGATGCTCTAGTTGGTATGTTGGTAGTTTGTTGACGAATTCACGGAGTTCGGTTGTGGTCTTCGCGGTGTGGCGGCTTTCGTAGTCACTTTCGAGACGACGGGCTACCTTGTTCAGAATGTCGCCGACGATGGCGAAGTTGGCGTCACGCAATTGGCTAAAGAGTTGATCGGAGGCGTCTAGCTGGATTTTACGCTTTTGACTCTGCTTGGATGTTTGCTGTGGGGCTTTGGAAGATTCTTGTGCTTGGGGGGCAGGTGTTGAACCAACGATGGCTGTGTCCACGTCTGCCTGGTTGTGCTTGATTCCTACGGTTTCATCGATCAAGCCCTCATACGTGAGTTGAGTGAGAAGGGCAGAGCCAAAGTCGACTTCACGGTCGATGATGATCAGGCTTTCAGTATCTGCGCTTGGGAGGAGCCCCCTGGAGCTGAGGTCAGTCAGACCAGAGCTCTCTTCAGCATCAAGTTCTTTTCTCATGCGTAGCAAAAGATCTGCCAATCGTCGTGCATTGTCGCCCTTGCCGATTATACGGGGGAAGTAGCCGTGCCTCTGCTGAATACCCATGAGGGCCTTGGCAGCCAGATAGACACAGCCTGGATCTTTGTGCTGCGACAATCAATACGCATGCTTTCGCAGGTAAAGGCTCAGGCTTACCAGGTACAAGTCGCTAAACGAGTCCTCTAGCTCTAATGACAAGACATCTTGCTCCAGAGGCATGAAGTACACGGGAAGTTCTGCGATGTTCACATCCCCGATGATTCCTGCATCTTCCAGGATTGCATTGCTTACAAGCGTACGTCTTGGGGCCCAGAATATAGAGAATTCATGTTCAACATTTCCATTCCGCTGTAGGCGTTTAATCTGGTCTAAGAGATGTCAGCTCATTCTGATGGCATTCAGTCGGAGAAATTGAGAAAGAAAGCCTTATGGATGAGCTGATATAAAATAACAAGATTCTTAATTTAGGGATCTTTTGACTACGTAGAGTAGGAATGCATCCGCGTAATCTACTGTTTGTCCCATTTGTGGTGTCCGCGCTTCACCATTCATAAGACGAGCAGACAGAAACAAAACTACGAGACGGTGGTAAGCAGAAAACGACATACCTGCGACGGTCCGCACCTGGCGTGTCTTTTCAGCATGAACTAGGAATACCACATTGCGTTGAGAGGAGTCCACATTGGCATTCTCCAGTAGGAACACTCGGTCTACACCGTACTCTTGGAGTAGAGAGAACTTGACAAAGAGCCCGACTGGACCGGCCAGATCCTGGCTGACAACAAGGTTCTTCTTCCCACGCACCTGCACCGATTTCAGCTAAGCCCGAGAGATTTGTTGGTGCCTTGAGAGACCCGGAGCCTTACTCACGCCTTCAAGCAGAGTCAACAGATCCCTACGCGCTTTGTCCTTAAAATAGTCAGCATCAGACCCAGGATACGGCGCCATGGCTGCAGGGAAGCACTTGAGGACGTGTGATTGGGAGAGGAAGGCAAAGAAGCCAACCTTGAATGTTTTCGGCGACGGCCTTTTGAGGCTTTGACGGTACAGGCTAAACCCCGTCCGGCCTAGTGACTACACCGCCCAGCACTGCCACATGGGGTTTGTATGGATGTACTGTACAATACAGGTATTGCAGTTAGGTACTAGGTAAGGTTAAGGACCCTTTGAGTATGTGGTGGTACTGGTAATACTTGTCGCCACGGGGTCTCGACTCTCCATCCAATAATTCCCCAAGAGGGGTCTCCTTTAATTGTGCCAGTTTCACATTTCCTTTCTCCTGTCTCACTTCTTCCTCCTCTCAGTTATTTGGAGCTATTCCACCTTCTGTTCAATCTCATATCTTGCTGCGATTGCTGCTTTCTTTTCTTTTCATTTTATTTTCAGCTGAGTGTGTTTGTGCTTCATACCCATTTGCACTGAGTTCAGGGTCTACTACAAGATGGTATTCGGACGCAAGAAGGACGACGACGATTCCTCTAACCGCCGTGCGCTCTTCGGCTCTAGGTCGAAGAACAAGAGTCCCGCGCCTCCCGCCAACCCTTACGCAAAGCCTATTCCTACCGACCCTTACACTAAAGCCAAGATAAATGCTGGAGTGGCTCCTCTACCAGCGGGCGAACAGCCACCTGCTCACAACACTCCCGCGGGCGCAAACGTTCCTGGCGACAACAAGCTCCAGGGAGGTTATGCTCCCAACAAGTTTGTCAACCAAGGTGGATATGGAGGTGATCGATTTGGTGGTGGGGGTCCAGCCCCGGCCGCGTCGCGGTATGGCCCCGGTGGGTATGGAGGATTAGGTAGCGCCGATCCCAATGATCCAGGTGATGCTGGCAGAGAAGCTTTGTTTGGAGGAGCTAGGGAACGAGCGGAACAACAGCAGTCACAGGGTGCACCACCCCCCCGTACTCCGAGGGCACTCCCTCTTACGGCGGCGGTAGCAATGCATACACCACTTCGACCTATCAGGAGCGCCATCTTACAGCAGAGGAAGAGGAAGAAGAAGAGATCCAGACCATCAAGCAGGATATTCGGTTTATCAAGCAGGGTGATGTGGCTTCCACCCGGAATGCGCTTCGTATCGCGGCGCAGGCCGAGGAGACAGGTCGGGAAACTCTTGCTCGTTTGGGTGCGCAAGGCGAGCGGATCCACGATACTGAGAAGAGCTTGGACATTGCCACGATAGAAGGTCGCATTGCCGAGGAGAAGGCAAAGGAGTTGAAGACGCTTAACAAGAGCATGTTCGCCGTTCATGTCTCAAATCCTTTTACCAGCGCCCGTCGTCGCCGAGACCGCGATGAGAAGATCTTGAATACTCACCGGGAAGAGCGTGAAACTCGTGAAGGCACTCGCAAGGAGGCTTTCGGCACCAACCAGCGTATGGAGCGTACGTTCAGAGAGATCGACCGTGAAGCCGGCAAGCATAACGGACGAGCGCGTACAAACGCTACCGAGCGTGCTAAGTATCAATTCGAGGCTGATAGTGAGGATGAGGCGATGGAGGACGAGATTGAACAGAATCTGGACTTGCTGTCCGGAGCTGCAGGCCGGTTGCATGGGCTTTCTAAAGCGACAGGCCGCGAGCTGGATGAGCAGAATCGCCATCTGGAGCGTATCATGCAAAAGGTGAGCTTCCCTAATTTTGACCATGCTTATAGAATAGGAACTAATTCCCTTATAGAGCGATTTTGTCGACGACCAGATTGCTATGAACCGCGCCAAGCTGGACCGGATTCGTTAGACTTCCTGTGGTATATAGAGAATTCGCGGGAAAGTTGTCGACGCCTGGTGCTCTCAACTTCAATGCGAATTGTCACTATGCATATTCTTCCCATTAACTACATATCCATGGCGTTCTGGGTTCTCATATCTTCAATCCTAGTGTTTGTTACCTGCCTTGATTCTTGAGATCTTGCATTGGAGGAAATTAATAGTACTTATCACTTTCGGTCAAATAGAGCATGCTCTGCCAGAGTCTATACCCAAGTTGGCCGCAAGTTATATGGTAGGCTCTATTGTAGAACATAGAAATTTGATTATTTGCTCAAAGACATCCATCAGGCTGGTACGCAAATCCGTCGCCGACTGTTTACCACAGCTACTCATCATACACCCAGTTGAAAATGACCAATTATGAATCTGGCAAACCGAAAACGATCTAACACTCTGCCGAGATAGCATGTCAATAGTGCTAGTAGCACTCACTACAGGCTCAGTCAAGCTCTTCTACCCAGCTACCATTCCTGAAGTCCAGGGCTCTGGGTATTCCTTCATTTACGACATATAATTGTCAAGGCAGTTGATCCTTTCACTGCGACTACAGTACTGGGTTCTGAGGCTGCTAGATTCTTCACGTGGACTGAACAGACCTGTCTTGATATACTCGGTAAATTTCTATGAATTGTGGCCCATCATAAATGATATCCAGCATATACTACCGCATATAAGACTCCACCATACCCACTACAGACGATAACGAAACCCCACCGTCTTCCAATCAGTCACATCCTCATAATCTTCTGGCCGCAAATCGACCGACCTCACCAACTCCGAAACATCATTGTCACCTCGTCGCCGGTCCTGGACCACCTTGCCCCCAACAGCCCCCGACAGACTCGCATTGCCCTGAACGCCCTCCTCGTGGTCCCTTCTCTTGTTAGTAAGCTGCAAATAAACCCTCAACGAGATAGCCAAGCCACCAGAAATGATATAGCAGATCAGAATAGCTTTAAACGAAGTCTGATACGTTGGCGCCTCGCTCGCTCTAAACAACTGCGGGCCTGCGATATTCCCCGCACAGTATGCCACGAACATCATGGCAGTCATTGTCATCTTCTTCGTGACGCCCCGGTAGTTCGCCTGGACGAGAGACATAGCTAGGGGCAAGGCACCCGGTCCCGTCGCGAGGAGGAAGTATCCGAACAGCTGAGCACCTAGAGGGACATGATGAGCGCGGGCGTAAATCAACGCACTTCCTATGATTGATAAAGCAACAATGCAGACGATTAAGATGCAGTTCATCTTTCTATAGCGACCCGCAATCCAGCCTGTAATAGTGATCGTGGAAGCGCTGACCACACTAGAGGGGATATTAATGAGTGTGGATTCAAGCGACGAAAACCCGAAGGATTTAATGACAAGGTTTCCAAAGTTTTGCGTACCCCCGTTCGGAATCTGTGTTAGAATAGCGATGGCGAAGAGATGCCAGGTTTTTGGATCCTGGATACACTCGAATGCCTGCTCCCATTTCCAGTTTGTTTTCTCGGTGCGTCCAGTTCCGGCAATTACCGCGCGATGGGCCATGAATTCTCGTTCTTGGGGCGTTAGGAACGTGGCTTTTGATATGCTATCTGGTAGGAAGGCGAGTAGTACGAATCCCCATAAAAAGGTGGCAATGCCCAGGATGATGAACATCCACATCCATGGTCGGAGAGGGTGCTCGATGTGTCCTATACCATACGCTAGGAGGCTAGCGACGAGACCGCCGATGGAGTTTCCTGAGAACCAGATGCCGGTTCGGAAGGGGATCTCGTCCCGCGTATACCATGTTGTCGTTATGAACATGAATGCAGGGTGATCGTTGCTTCTGCGATGCCTAACAGGAATCGGACTGCGAGCAGGCCGCCGTAGTTGACGCAAGCTGCGGTTAGGGCGACGACAGCGCCCCAGAAGAGGGTGTTGGCTGCCAGGTATTTTGCGACAGGGAGTCGGGGGATGAGATAGTTTGTAGGGACTTCCCAAAAGAAATAACCGAAGTAGAAGATGCTGGATACCCAGCTGTATTGCTGTCCGATGAGGTGCTAGGTGCGGTTAGTTTAGAGTGGTTTGTCAGAGGCGCTACTAGGGTATAAATGAGGTGCATACTGTGTCGTCAATGAGGCCGAAGACGGACGCGCTAGATAAAATAGTTTTATCCATGAAATTGAACATATATGTAATAAACAATAGAGGAATGAGTCGCATATCAACTTTACGCAATGCGCTGGAGGCAATAACCTGGGCGTTATCATCGTGATTGCTTTCGTCTATGGCTCGAGCTGTCGAAGCCATAGTGTCTCGTTTTGTGGTTACGATTTGCTATAATATCGGGAATATTGTTCATTTCACGACAAGGCGCAAAAGGTCTGGCGGGAGATAGCATTTTATAGAGTTACTATTCCAAAGGAACAAAGGGAGGGGAATGCGTCTTATCATGAATTGTCTGCTGTGCAGCTGATAAGCCTGAGATGTCGGTAAATTAACCGATTGGAATGCAGGTAATTAATGTCATATAAGCTTTCATCTTTGTACATATACTCACCCTATGATAAATGATTCTCTATAATGGTGTGCTACTTTGGTCAAAAAATTAAGTTAATATTTTTAGATATGTGACATATGCAAGATGAGTAGTAAGCGAGCATATTTATTGTATAGCTTCACAGACGATTCCTACCTCCTCTTCCGAAGCACAGGCCCACTATTGGTTAGGAAGACATTACTACCTTAGATGGAAATGCTGCTGGTAGGATAAGTCATATGGACTGAAGTTTTGTTTTCTACATGAACGGGATTTTATTCTCACTACACGAAGACAAACTTGAGACTATTCCCCAACTGCCAAGTTGTTGTGTGTATTCGTTCGATGGTCTGACATACAAGCCGCTAGAGGTCCCTCTTATGCTCAATTGTCTGGGCTGTTCATTCGAGGGCTATTCATTTTCAGTGGCTTCGAACCTCAACAGAGCCTGAAGAGCACACAAGCGCTCGATATCACAGAAACAAGCAGCAATGGAAATACAGTTGGTCGGTATTTTTGATGTACAGTAGTACTAGTCTTTCCACCTCACCCTTGATAGCTTGATCTGCTTGGCCATATTGGCCGCCACGATCTCTTCTTGCCAGGTGAATCCCAACGCCGGCCGTCCATCTTGTCGGCCACGGTACTGGCCTTGATTGCAGCGCTGCATGCACTAGCGCTTTGGCTGAGCAGCAAACTTTCAATCTCAATGTTCGATTTTCTTGAGGTGGGGACTCTCCCAGCATTAGATAGCTCGAAGGCACGCATCCTCTTTTGGCCCAGCTTTTGTAGACATATGGCTACATACAAGGGTGGTACTCTTGATCTTAAAAAAATAAAATTGCACCGACAAGTATTTTAAGAGGACAGAAGTTGTTAGTAGCAGTAAATAAACCTTGAAACTAGTTACATGCGACAGGAAATATATCGTAATAAACCCTACTGATCGAACTTCTATGAGTGAAAATTTGTACCAGGGATGTGTTGTAGTGGCATCATCACATCAAGTGACAGTCTCTCCTCAAGAACTTTCATGGCGTTGAATAAATGCAATAACAGTTTTCGCAAGCTTTTCAGGTTGGTCCTCTGGTGAGAAATGCCCACACTCTTCAAATATATCTAGCTCAGAGCCTGGAATCGCATTCTTAAGTTTATGAGCCCAGTCCACCACTTGCCAGGCATCATCTGCCCCCCATACCAGCTTGACGGGCACCCTGCCGAGCTCGTGAAGTCGACTGACGATTTCCATTGTATGCTTCGGGTCATAATGTCGCACTTGGTGTTGAAACAGGCTGCCCTGACCTATGGGTCCTGAGATGTACTCTAAGAATGTAGTGAGGCTTGTATCCGCGAAAGTCTTCTTATCATAGACTGCTGAAAGCAGCCATTCCTTGAAGTGCGAACGGTGATTTTCATCTGTGGCGTCACACAATGTTTGAAGTCCTGTAGCCATCTGCTCCCTCGTTCGCTGTGAAGGATAGCTATCGAAGCTAACAACATCCACAAGCATCAATGACCGTAGTCGATGAGAGTTGAAGACACCAAAGCGCTGAGCAATACCGCCCCCAATATCGTGGGCCACTAAATGGAAGGTCTCGAGATCCCAATGCTTGAGTAGGCCCTCGAGGATTGAAACTTGGCCTGTCATTGACGTGTCGATGCGTGGGTCCCATGGACGCTCTGACACCCCATATCCTAGCAGGTCGAACACATAGGCCTTGAAACCGGCGTTTGTGAGCTGCGGGATGACGTTGCGCCAGATGAGTGATGATGAGGGTGTTCCATGAAGAAGGACAACCGGAGCCCCAGTACCGTATATTCCATAGGCAACTCGATTTCCATCAATGAGAACGTTTTCTCTGGCGATAGGCTGCATGATGGGAGAGGTAGAAATTCTATAATCAAAGTGTTTCTTGCTCAGGATATTGTATGGCACATGCGACATATTTATATTTTGGTGCATTGGCCAGGCGAAGTTTGGCTGGGCAGATTTGGCGTCATACAGTAAAGTAGGATACGAGGATAACATCTGGTTGTTTAGGTGTAGTCGAGTGCATGATTGATAAGCAAAAGTAGGATGGCATCGGTGTAATGTCTACCTCAGCCAATAGCTCCCTTATGGGTGGAGGCGAACAACCTCTAGTGAAGCTGTCAGTCGGGCGGTGTTCACTTTGCCTGGACAGGATTAGAAATCAAAATATTAAGTTCGTGAAAGCTAACTATGAAATATACGAAATGTATGATATATCTGCGCCGATCTGTTCGGACCCGTGTTCAAAATACGAACCACGCTTGCCTTTGCTACATAATGTACATTAGATTAGGGTTTCCATTAGAATGACTCAGTCTCAATTCACCCGTCTAGACAAGCACCAGTATCAGCAAGGTTGTAGTCGATCTCAATACAAATTTCATTATGCCCGAAGGCCCGCCTGCAACGCTTGCGCCATCTCACCTCACCTATTGAACTTCCAATCCTGAAATCTTTTCAAATTTCCCATAGACAAGCCAGACCTCACAATCCAGCTTGAATGAATACCCATACCCCTCGCTACATGATGATCATAATGCTGGCTCTATGCTACCTGGCTACCTCTTCCATCTGAGCTCCGAATTTCTCCTTGCCTTCCCGCAGGATATACTCGAAGCAGCCAGTAAGCCTTTGAACGAATTCAGTTCAAATTATACGGACAAACAAGCTTGAAATGCATTTTCAGTCATTCAGCGCATCCACTGTAGGAACGCTAGCAAGTTGAACATAGAGTTGCCGAAAGCGACGCTCTACTCGGGGGTCGGTGCAGACAGACCCAATACAACCATCTGTGGGTAGATTGTGGCGACGATGTCGGCATATGTCGGGTGATTTGCTTTGTTGGATACACTCACCTTCGTAATATCGTCCAGATTTTGGGCGTGCGTTGGATGGATGCCTCTCGTTTTACGAGGGGCTTAACGCCGTTCAGTGTCCCGGTTTCTCGGCCAATTGGGGTGCCGTAGATCGTGAAGGAGAGGACACGGTAGTCTATTAGACTGGCATGGCTTTTTCAGGTTCCAGAAGTTGTATCATCAATTGGATGGCGTGATTTGCTTGAATGGTAGAGTCGCAGGTACCTCTTAGCAGGATCGCAAGACAGTATATATGATGCCGGTTCAAAGTTACGGTAACCAATGCATAACCTGGACAAAAGGAAGATCGAAGATGCTCAGGAAATCAACATTAATTAGCTTCAATTTGCACTCATCGGAAGATCTCCGCAGAAATATGCAACGGTAATGAGGGGAATCTAAAACTTGGATGTCATTAGCTACGACCTCCGATCCTTCGCACCTTTCTTATCAGAAGAACGGCTGGTTGTCGGATAGTGCCGCCGAGGGAATAACTCCAATGGACCCTCAAATTCATTACCCAATGTCCCCGAACACTGAGATACTACTTACAACATACTCGGAGCCTGACTGAGACCTAAACATACCTTCCATCAGAATTTGCATACGAAGCATGAACGGCCTCGAAATAACCCCTTTCATAATATCCCTCCCCAAAGTCGAACTGCATGTCCACATCGAAGGCACCTTAACACCAGCCCTCCGATGGAAGCTCGCTCACAAAAATAACATCCCTCTTCGATACCCCACATACGAAGCGCTGGTTGACTCATACAAGATCACGTACAATCACCGTCGCGAGCTCAATGGCGACAATGGTGCCCCCACCTTCCTAGAAACCTATTATGAGGGCTGCCAAGTCCTCTGCACAGAAGATGATTTCTACGAGCTTGCCATGGCATATTTCGAAAAGGCAAAAGACATGAACGTGCGCTACGTTGAGCCGTTCTTTGACACCCAGGCTCATACTAAACGAGGTATTCCCGTTGAAGCTATCTTGAATGGGTTTCTCCGTGCTCAGCATGATGGAGCCAGAGAACTCGGAGTGAAGAGTAACTGGATCTTCTGCTTCCTACGTGACCATCCGGTCGAGGAAGGACTGAAGGCGCTTCACTCGGCGCTGCCTTGGGCTCAAACGAAAGATGGAAATGGAAAGGGGTTATTCCATGCGGTCGGACTGGCGAGTAATGAGTATGATCGACCTCCAGGACTCTTTGAAGAGGGGTTTCTGTTGGCCAAGGAGGCTGGTTTACATGTTACCATGCACTGTGATGTGGACCAGAAGGATGTGGTGGAGCATATGCGCGAGGGCATTTTCAATGTCTGTGCGGGTTCTGGGGCGGATCGGATTGACCATGGTCTCAATGCTATCGATTCTCCGGAGTTGATAGCTGCGTTGAAAGAGAAAAACATCGGCCTCACGCTTTGTCCGCATGCATACCATCGCAGACAGGCGACGGAGGTGCTTTTTCCTAAGATTAGGAAGCTATGGGATGAGGGTGTCCAATTTTGTATTAATAGTGATGATCCGACTTATATGCATGATGTTTGGATTGATGGAAACATGATGAAGGTGTACAGGTATTGCGGTTTTACTAAGTCGGATATGGGCAAGCTCGTTCGAAATGCGGTTGAGATGAGCTGGGCAGATGAGGTTACGAAGAGGGAGATCTTACAGGATTTGGAAAGAGTATTGGGTAGGTATTGAGAACTTACCTAGTTAGAAAAGCGTTCAGAGACATGTCAATCAGCTCTGCTTACAGCAAAGATCGTTCATACATTCTTGAAATCCAAATACCAGAGCCTTGATTAGACCCATGAAGTTTCTTGAGCGGACTGTAGTCTCGTGAGGCATCCAGGCTCCAGCGCGGATCGCCCGAGTATA